AACCCTCAACACCTCAGCCCCGCCCCTTCCGCCGCTTTCCTCGGCGGCTCCCGGGGCTGCAGCCGCGCGCGGTGTCGTCTCCATGGCGACGAGCAGTCTACGGCGCGCAGCTCCGAAACCCGCGCGAACCTCCAGCTGGGCCGGCCTTCGCCGACTGCCCCTCAGATGATCCGCTGGAGAGGGCCACGAGCGGGTAAGAAGCGCCGCGGCGACTGCGAGTCTCCCTCTCCCGGTCCCCGCGTGCAGAACTCCCTCACCTCGGACCACCCAGGCCGCAGCCTAAACCCGCGAACTTCTCTGCGCCGTCCAGGTTTGGGCTCTGCGGCCCCTCGGCCGCCTGGCGGCGCGCGAGAAGGTAGGATCCGCGCGGCTGAGGCGCGCCTCACACTTGGCTTCCTCCTCTGGCTGTAGTCGGGTCCGGAGGGAGGATGTCGGCGTCGGTGAGCGGGAACGGGGCGGTTTTGACGGGCTAGAGACACCTGCCGCCCCGCCCGGCGGGCTCCCGCGCGCCGACGTCCCCTCCCCCCTCCCCCCAAGGGAAATTGCTGCGTTTCACCCCTGGGCTTCCGCTGCTTCCTTCTGTCCTCTGCGGCCCCCTCCCCACTCCTTTAAAATTTTTTTCCTTTTCCGTTTTTTCTGGAAACACCGTAATGGCCTATAGGAGCAAGCACTCGCTGCTTGTAGTTAAGACGTCATCCTTCTTTAGACATAACTTGCTCAGCCGTAAAAAATTTCGGTGGAATTTGGACAAATTAAACCTCCGCGGGCTTTGTTTTTATCTTCCGTAAAATGAGGGGATCACTTGTCAGGTTCAGTCTTCAGCCTTGCGATGACGAAACTGACCTGAGACTTCGTCCTAGTGTGGGCTTTTTGACTGCTTAAACTACTCCACCCTAAGCCCCGACAGCATTTAAGTTAGCACATGGCATAATTATAAATTTATCGTTTGACTTCCCATAAGGCAAAGGAGAATTGGATGAATCTGTTCTTATCCCAAGAGATTCCCTGGGAGGTTTTTTTGTGTTGTTTTTTAAAATAAATCCGAAAAAGACACTGAAAATGTTGTTGTTTTTTATTTGTTTCATTCCCCTGGAAACAACAGCGCTGCTCTTTAAGCGTTAAGAGTTTACCAGAGTTGAATTCCAACACCTTTGTAGGAATTCCACTGCACCACTCCAGAATTCCGGAGCTTCCTGCTCCCGCCTTGGAGCTAAATCATTAGTTTTTTACCCCCTCCTTTGCCCCATCCAGTCTCAGTTGTGCACTTAGATCTGGCTTCCTTAAGTCAGACTTCACCTTCAGCAGTGACCCTGCTAGGCTGTAGGTAATAATAGCAATAGTAACAGAAGGGGGGAAAGTTGTAATAATTATAACTGTAGTAGGAGATAGGTGCTATTATTATTTTTTAAATATTCTTTTAATTGCTTTTAGGGGGAGGGAGGGAGAGAGAGTCATTGATCGGCTGCCTACTGCACTCCCCCTACTGGGGATCAAGTGGAAACACTGGCATGTGCCCTGACTGGGAACTGTGACCTCCTGGTTCATGGGTTGCCAACCACTGAGCCACACCGGCAAGGCAGATGCTACTATCATTTATTTAGTTATTGTTATCACAATAAGTCTGGGTAGGTAGTATTTTTATACTCATTTTACAGTTGAGGAAAGTGAGTCATAGATTAAGGAACTTACTTGCTCAAGGTCACACACATTTGCTGGGATTTGGACATAGGCAATCTGACTCCACAGTCTGGGCACTATATTATGCTATAAAGGAAACATACGAAATTTATATGTAGTCTCTTTTAAATATGAATGTGATAGATGATCATTGAAGCCATTTTATACACATTTGAGTTATGCAATGAAATAATGCCCCCATGTCCTTTTATGTTTCCTCATTAAGTTCCTCAAGGGTGGAGGATGGTGCTTAATCAGCCCTGTCTCTCCTTCTCACCACAGTTGCAGGATCTGAGCATGTAGCTGTCTATTTAGTAATTCATTCTTTGCCTATTAGAATATAAGATAGCGTATAGAAACCAATAGCACAAAAGGATAAAATAATTGCATAAATGGGTTGAAGAAAAAATACATCTTCCAATATTACAAGAAAAACCTAAAATAAGAATTTTGTGATATCTGAATTTTAAATGTTGGTGACTCATTTTATAAGTGTTTTGGGTTTTTTTTTTGAAACCTGTAGAATCCAAATAAAACCTATTTGGCCCTAATGATTGCTGGTTAGTGAACACTTACTTAGAGGAGGGGGGGTATGAGATGTTTTACATTCTTTTGTTTGCTACTAAGTCTTTATTGTCCAGTGCGCATATCTCAAAGTGAACACATTTCTGGTGCTCAATAGCCACATATGGCTAGTGGCTACCATATTGGACAGTGAAACTCTAGTTTAATACGTCATTTTTCTTTGCTTTCTTTTTTTCTTCCTTCCCCTTCCATTCATTCAACAAATATTTACCGAGCACCAGATTATGTGACATGGAGTGCACTAGACACTACAGATAGTTTTGTAAGGTGGCTTGAGTTTATCTGTTCTTTATAGCAAAACAATAACAACAACAACAAAAAACTATCTAAACTAATTGGGCCCTTGACTGGAGTTTTTGATTGTTGAGAGTCAACTGTTTCTTAAAAGCTGGAATTGCATCACATATAACTCAAGAATTGCTGGGAGCCCATGTGTAGGAAATCTGTGTGCAGTGAGAGAGAGAGAGAGAGAGAGAGAGAGAATGAGGCCCATATGCAGGGAGAAGCTGAAATGAACAAGAGAAAGTGTCACCCTCCCCTTCCAACACAGCTGTATCTACTGTATTCTGACTTCTACACAGCTTGGGTATTCAACTCTTGGATTCTATGAGCCAACACTCTCTTCCCTCCCCCTCCCCCCCAAACTAACTGGAGCATGGTAACTTGCAAACAAGAGTTTAGACTAATATAGCTAACAAGACAAGAACCAATTCCTTTCTTTTAGAAATGAGCCCTTCCATTCTCTCTCAGGTTTACCCTCTACAGAATTTCAAAGGCTTGGTTTGCTTTCCATTGCCTACTACTGATTAAAGCCCAAAATCCTTAGCACATGGCAATTAATGACTTTTAAAATTTGCTTCCACATTTCCGATTTCATCTATTGTCATTCTCTTAACACAATGCTGGACTTCTATTCCCCTTTTGTTGACTAACTATTTGGTTTTGACTTGGTTAAATAAATGTCAGCTTCTTTGTGAAGCCTGACTGAATCTTTCTTCCCATAAGATAGAATTCATTACTTCTCGCTCTCTGCTCCCTCAGGCCATCTTAATTCCAGGTGTGTTAGCCTCTTGGTTTCAAGAAGTGGGAGCCACATTTGTCAAGGTCTCTTTTGGCTTCAGATGTCAAAAATCATTTTCAGCTTGTTTCAGCAAAAAGAGAAATTAATTGGCCTGTGGTAAAGGCAGAGGTTGAGCTGGAAACAGGGACTCAAGCATCATCTCTGTCTTTCTCTCCCCTTCTCTCTCTCTTTCTCTCTCTCTCATCTCCTCATCTCTCATCCCTGATTCTTTTGTATATTCTGCTTTACTCTCAGGTTACTTTTTTCCTGGAGGCTAGAACCATGGATACTGGGAGCTCTAAATTCATATTCTCCTACCTCTATGATAATTCCACCTGGAAAAGTTTCAGAGAAAGGTTGTAATGAGCTTTAGCTTTGTCCAATTACTGTTAGCTATGAATTGCTATGATTGCTGTGTCTTAGGACAGTACTACTCTTTTTTTTTTAATCTTTATTGATTTCAGAGGAAAGGAGAGGGAGAGAGAGAGATAGAAATATCAATGATGAGAGAGTCATTGATCAGTTGCAGCCGGCAACCTGGGCATGTGCCCTGACCAGGAATCAAACCCTGATCGCCTGGATCCTAGGTCAACGCTCAACCCCTGAGCCACGCCCGGCTGGGCAGGACAGTACTACTCTTGTGTTCAGGTGGGCTGGATCTTTTAACCACATAAAGAGGAAGGAGCTAGCAGCAGATAATACCTTATTCTAGGAACACTTGTAGAAATTATACCTGGAGGGATATAGCAAATCTAGAGAGAACAGGTCTCAAGAATGATTCTGGAACTGGAAAGTTGTTCAGAGACAGTTCTGATGATTAGCTCTTCCTCTATTTTTCCAATTCTGTCTCCACTGCCTGATGACTCTCCTTGGATATCTCCAGTCCATGAGCTTAAAAGAAGGGATTTGATTGATCCTGTTTGGGTAGTGTGGAAAAGTACATCAGAGCTTCTTAGATGAAAGGATTTAGTACAGTACTTTGAAGTTGGTCTTTCCCAGGTATATAGGGAATTAGTACTTGTTTCCCCTATAAAATTATGAGCTTCTCTTGTATCCCCAGGGCTTATCACAGACACATGGTACATAGTAGGCGTTCATCAAATTGTGTCAAATAGACATTGAATGTTACATGAAAATTTGGAATTATCATCACTGTTATTCCCATTACCACTGGGACTGTTGAAAGACATCAGGAGAGTCTACTCATGTTCCAAAAGCCATAGGATGCACTTGGTAGAAACTCAAAGGGCTTATTAAATGAATGTTGTGAGGTTAACATTAACCATAACCAATAGTAATGAATATACAAGGTGTGTGCACCTGTTCTTTTTGGACACCATGACCCCAGTTTGAATAGGTACCACTGGATGGAGAAGAGAATTGCAGTAGCACCTTGCCAACATACAGCTCACATGCCTGTAAGAGATGGATAAACAGAAATACAAATGGTATTGCAAATTTTAAATTGTATTTTTTAAATAGGTAACACATTTATCTTGTTCAAAGTTCAAGAGGTACAAATGCACATAAAGTAAAAAGCTCCCACCCCAGTCCTGTAGCCATCACCAGAGTCAGCCAATATTATAATTTCTTTTCTGAAAACATTTCCTTTCAGAGATATTTTGCATATTGATAGTTATTTGAAAAATACATATTCCCTATACAGTGGCTATACCTCATTCTGCTCAGCTTATCAGCCATTGCTTTACCTTGACCTGTGTTTTTCCCCTGCTTTTTCCTGGAGTCAGTGATCTTTCTAAACAAGTATCATTGCTTTGGGGATTGTGTGATTTTTAAATTAATTAAAAGTCTTCAGAGCTAAAGCCTCCTTTTTGTTTCCCTAAGCAATGTTAATCAGCCCCTTAGAATTACTTCCCAGTTTTTCCTTTAGACAAAACATCAAGTTGTTTATACAGTGTCCCTCTTATGTACCACACACTGTGCTAAACACTTTACCCAGATCATCTCATGTAATACTTATAATGATCCAGTGAAGTTGGCAGTAAAGTAACTTATCCAAGCTTACATGGCACATGGCAGAACTGAGATGTGAATCCAGTCTGTCACTCAAGAGCCCCAGCTCTTGAGTACTACTCTATACTGCTTCTTAGGAATTCAATTTTATGAAAGGAGATTAAATAGACAGTTCCTGGGTAATGATAAAGTCAGACCTAGCAGAGCCTGTGTTTTTAAGGGCTAGGATTTGCCAGCCCTAGGTTTTTCTATTATCAGGTGAAAATGGGAGAATTATATGCACTGATGTTTCATTCAGGTAAAAGATGGACTGTAGCAATCCATAAAGATACTAGAGCTAGAAAGGAGAGGAGGGCTCTAAACATAAAGGGATGTCTACCCAAGCAGACTTTTGACAACACATGGGATTGTGGAAATCTGGAGTGAAAGTATTTCTCAGGAAAGGTCATCCTAGATTGCTTTTATTAAGGTCTTATTTGGTTCATTTTTGCATTGTTTCAGCTTCTGAGCACTGTCTACTGCCTTAGAGAATTAGGAAGAAAGTCTTTCATTTATTCTAGAGTTTGGCTTTCTACAACTGTTTTTCCCAAAAAGATGCCTTGTTTTTCTGATGAACTTGAGCTCTCTGTGAGCTCAAGAGATATCCCTCAATTCCCAGGGATAATCCAATTAATAACATGTATAATGTCTGGTTTGGTTAGGGTTGCCCAGAAAACAAAGCCCAAGGCAAAAGTTTACATATTACTGATTTACTCAGGAGTGCAGATCATTGTGAGGGAGCCAGATTTAAAAAGAGAAAAACAATGCAAAATAATGAAGCTTCTCTTTATTGCCCACAGATTTGGCCCTAAATTTTGTATTCCAGAAATCCCTAGGTATGTACTACCAAGAATAATTTGAAAAGTCTGGCTTGGGACATGGGAACAAGTGAATTGTTACCTATGAAAAGTTTAAATATGGCCCCTCTCATACATAAAAAACACCTTATGAGCTGATTTTCCTCCTTGAGATTAGAATGGAATTTATGCAGTCTACAGAAGGTAGTAACTTAGGAAAGGTAAAAATTCACAGAGAAAACATTTTAAGTATCAATAAACATAAGGAAACTTACAAAGTAAGAATTATAGTTTTAAATGTGTCTGGAGAAAAATCAAAGGTTAATTTCTAAATGTATTTGTTGAAATAATATTTTATTAAAAATACTATATCTTATTCTGGCTTATATACACTCTTACATGAAGAGGTTTTTCACAATATGGATGAACTGAAATGTGGCAGATAGTTTGGTTTACATATTGTTTTGTTGAAGTAAGGGAGAAAGAAGGTGGTCTAAACATGAGCCAAACTAATTTAATGATTGTTAGGGTCAGCTCAGAAGGAACGATGAATCCTTAACCTGCTGTTAATTGTATTTGGATCTACATCTAGAGACCAAGTTATTTAAAACCAGTTACAGTTAGGGGCTTATTTAATACATCACTTTTCTAACATGCGCAATTATTCCTGTAGCTCTTTTTACATAGGCTTCAAGGTAAAAGGGGAGAAAGAGTTCATTTCTCTAGGCTTTTTTTTTTTTTTTAATATATCTTTATTAATTTCAGAGAGAGGAAGGGAGAGGGGGGAGAGAGAGAGATAGAAACATCAGTGATGAGAGAGTCATTGATCGGCTGCTTCCTAGGCACTCCACAATGGGGATTGAGCCTAAGACCTGGCCATGTGCCCTGACCTGGAATTGAACCTCAGTCTCCTGGATCATGGGTCAGTGTTCAACCGCTGAGCCATGCCAGCCAGGCAGGACTTTTTTTTTTTTTTTTAAGCCAATTTCATAATCCAGATGAATGAGGTTTTTCAGTTAGGATCGAAATAATGCTACCAAATACAAAAACAAAGTACACACTTAAAACTCTACTAACATGCTAAGCTCTATATTCTGTTTTATTTATATTCTAAATTTATACAAGAGTTTAAAGACTTATGAAGTAAATATTTTGGTTTTTGCAGGGATTATCTAGACAAGACAGATGCTGTAAAGGTAAGAGTGCACAAACTTTTTTAGGACACTTTAGTTCTATTTTATCATCAATTTATATAGTTTTTGAATAATTGTTTTAGGATGAAGTTACCAGTTAGCCTAGGTAACAGAAATGTTTATATAAAGACTATGAGTAAGTTATTTCAAATACCTCAAATGAAAATAATAATGTTAGTTTTTATTTCTGCTTCTATTTTAGGCACCAAAATATAGACAGAATGGCAAATGGCTAGTGTTTGATCCAAAGGGTAAATGATTTATTGCTTGAAAAGAATATGTTTGAACACCATTTTGTCTTAAATATTAAGAAGATAGTTTACTGAAATGGTCAAGTGTGGTTGAAAGACTTAGCAATTAAATCCTTTATTATATTGTCTGTCATTCAAAAAATGCCTAAATATTTGCCAGTCAGGAATTTCTCTTAGGAACATCACTATTGATAAAATACTGAGGTTTTTTTTTCTTCTTCTCTTTCAGAAAAAGTGATGATTGAACCAAATGAAACAATATCAGAGTAAGAAAATGTCTCCGGTTGTGCAACTGATCTATCACATGCCTTTTGAGCAATTAGAACTAGATAATGCAATCATTTGTCACCCAATTAAATTTGAAAGGCCAAAAATGCATGGATTAGCACTTTAGCTTTTGCTTCAATCTAAGCAATTGTTACTAGATAAAAGGACATTTAAAATGAAGTGTGAATTTTGATAAAAATGTAGAGATATAGATACTATTCACTTCTACTTTTAAATGCTTACACACCAAGTAGTGTGTATTTAACTTATATAATTCTCATTTCTATTTCCCTTTGATAATTGCTCATTTCTTTCAGAATATCTCTTTATATTTATAAACAGATTCTTTAATTACTATGAGATGATTCATTACTACTAAATAAGGAAAATACATAATCACCCCAAGTAGATGAAGAGATTAGTGTTAAAAAGAATTATGGTTCAGTTTAAACTTAGTAGCTAAATATTAAGTACCTGATTTGTTCAGGGTTACTGATTCTGATCATCAAAGCCCTTCCTGATAGGATCATCTCCTACCACCTGAAAAAAAATTCTATCATTTAGTCCATGAAAAATCACAGTTTGAAAGTTGATCATAAAACACATTCATAGATATCAATTATTGATAGGTTTGTAAGCACTGTTCCGGTGGGATTCTATTCAAATAATATTATTTTGGCTTACTGTGAATATTACTGGCTGGGAAAAATTTCACCTAATGCAACATATATTTTGATTTCATACTGTCAAACCTAAAGATTAAAATTAGAATCTATTTTGGCTTTGTTGTAAATTATATATTGAATATATATTTTTATATTAAAGGGAGAGTAATGTATAATAGATCAATGATGAGAATCTGTTTATTTCAGATTTAATATTATAGACAACCAGAACAAATAAATGCCCTGTTAAATATATGTATATCCTATTACATGGTTGAAAGCATTTAAATTTAAAAAAAAACTAAGACAATTTTAGTAGTCTTTGAGTGAAATATAACTTTTAATGATAGTAATGGAAGTTAGTAGGTCATTAATGAAAATAAATTGTTTTGCCTACTATGAGCCCAGTATTCTGAGACTGTGATAAACAATGTTGGAATTGGAGCAGGAGTGATCCACACCCTGAGGTAGTTGTACTCCAGGGATAAATCAAAGGCAGCCAGGACCAAAATACAAAAGCAGAGTACCTACTTTTTCTCTTGATCTCATTAATAATTGCATCTGCTCATCAAACTATTTTTTGAAAGGGTAAGATGAGCATTTTCCCCTTAATTTGCTTGCAGAGAAGAGTTTGGGTTTGGTTGTTGTTTGAAGTGGATGGTTAATGTAACCAATAAGCTTCATCGTTGTGTGGTGTTGTCACCTCAGGTACCTTACCCAGAGTTGAAGGCAAACAGGGCCAGTCCTGGAAAAAAATGATTAAGTAAGAAAATAGAAAATCATGTGGGACCTTTGTTTGGGGACTAGGTAACTGACCTGCAAAGGTGATGAATTTTCTCAGTGTAGCTTCAGATTCCACTTTCCACCCCGCTGTTGGCTCCATAGTCTGACTGGCAAGTGGAATTTGCCAAAAAGTCCTATCCAGCTTGGGTTAGGGGGAAACTAGAAGTTTTCTTTCTCCACCAGTTCTTTGCTTTAATCTTCTGATTGATTTTCATTCTAGTCCAAGCCACAAGGACTTTATAAACCATGAGTTTCAAACTTCTCTGCACACAAACCTCACATTTATAATTCCCTTTCCCCTCATAGATCCATGTGTAAAATATTTTGTCCACCCAACAGAATGCACTTAATTAACAAACTTTTCAGTAGTAAAGGTAAAATATATCTTTAATGCTGGACAAAGTTTTATAGATCTTGGGCCTTTGATCTGTTGATGTTTTTGGTCAAGCTTTTGAGCATACTCAGAGATGTGAAGTGTAAATGGCTGAAACAGACCCACAGCACTCAATGCTCTGAGGTTGAAAAGTTATATCTATATGTTTTTTCATAATCATATGTTTTCTCTTCTAAAGTGAAAAGTTATTTTTTTATTCCCATTTTTATACTTTAAGTAAATGCATCTTCGGACAAAGACTAAGATTGGGCAGCAAACTTTATATGTCAGCAACACAGGTTTCTCTAAATATAGCTAAGACATTTTTAGAAAATAAGTTTTAATTAATTTTTAGGCCCATGTTTGACAAATTATAAATCATTTTAAAACAAAGTTTAAAATATAAACTTCCTGAAAAACTTGTTAATTCCAATAGAAATCTGGGGACGTTTCATAAATATACCCAGTACTCTTAACAGAGGAATAATCCTAAAACCTAGATTATTTATCCTCTAGCATTAATATGTTCCAGTGAGATATCTAACTTGACTAACTCTCAAACTTAAGCAGATGCTAAATTAAATATCTTCCATTTCCAAAGGATATTACATAAAGTAAAAATTTGAGTCTTTCCTTAATTATAACTGTATTGAAATAACAGATATTTTAGAGTATACCGGTTATCTATTTTTCTTAAATAGTTAGAGGCATTATTACTATGAATAATAGCACTTTCGCAAATGGAAGTCAATAGATTATTGTTGAAGAGGGGGTCAGTCATTGGGCCTTTGAGTCTTCGAGACTATATGAGAAAGACAACAGAAAGTGAGCAGAAAAGGAATTCATATTTTATTGTTAAATGATGATTTGGCCCCAATTTTCATATATATTTTTATGGCACATTAATGCTTCCAAATAGTAATATCCTATTTGTTTTCAGGCCATTGAGTATATTGACTTCCTCCATGTTGTGTCATTAAGACTATTAAAAGCATTTCCAACAATGCAAGTACCCAGAACTATACTAGCTAAATTCTCTTCTTTGGGGTATAACTTAGTCAATATATAAGTAACATATTTCATCATAGTTTAACATCTCTTACAATCGATGGCATCTTAAACTTGGCAATGCTTTTTCTTTTTCTTAAATAATGGTATGTCTTATAAATATATGGTATCTTGGATTCAACAAAATACTATAATTTTGGGAGGGTGGAGGGAGGTAGGCAGTAAAGCCGTTTAATCTAGATTTACTATTAGAGCAAATAAATTCTAGTAATCACTTGTGATGATCTTTGGTTATAATAGGAATCTCACCATGCTAGAAATTAAATACTTGTGACTTCTCAACTTTTCACATGTAGAGTTTCCTCTCGGATGTTTTCTTTCGAAATTAGAAAATTGAGGAGAGCAGAGGCAGACAAATCATCTTTGCTGTCCATTTTGTCTTACCAGGGAGGGGTTTGCTTTAGCAGAATATACTGGGGAAGTGAGGATTCTATTCCCTCCTGTTGTATTAAGAATATAACAGCTCTGCCCATGTGGCTCAGTGGATTGAACGCTGTCCCATGCACCAAGAGGTCACCGGTTTGATTCCCAGGTTGCTTGATCCCCAGTGGTGGGACGGGAGGCAGCGACCAGTGTTTCTCTCTCTCTCTCTCTCTCTCAAATCCATAAAAACATATTTTAAAAATAGAACATAACAAGCTGTTCTGCCTCTTTGCTAAATCACGGTACAAGACCACTAACTTAACTGCAGTACTAATGTTCTGCATTCAAATTTCATTGGATATAAAACAAAGCCACTATAACTTTGGGAGAAAAAATAATACTTTACATCTTTTTATATCTTTCCATGCAAACTAGGAGCTGAATTTTTAAACTTGGTAAAGGAGACACATTAAAAGAATCTTAAAACCACGGAATACAGACTTAGGCTTATTTTTCCACCAGCATGAGTGCCTGTCATTGTAAACAGAGTGCACCACACATGAATCCTCTGTCTCAGTGCGTCGTTTATTGACATGAGGTTTCGGGTGTAAAGGCTAAAAGAGAGAATCCATTTTGATTTCAATGACTTAATGAAAAAGCAGGCTACTTTTTATTATGACCAAAGATTAATATTAGTGTTGCACTCTCTCAGTGTAGCATTTAGCAATAGTAAAAATTGATTTACAAACTTAAAAAATGGCTAGTATTTCATAGTTTTGTTCCATTATATATGTTACAATGATGTGCCAGACATTCATAGAACTGATTGCTTATATATTCTGTGTTAAAGAATTCTGAAAAGGTTCTAAGAATCATTACACAATGACAAATGCCAAGCAGAAACAGAATTTTAATCACCAGTAAAAATTATTTTTAATGCTTTCCCACAAAGAAGATACTGCATTTTAGCTATTTAGTTTATTGTTGGTATATTATACTGTATGTTTATATTAAATAAGTGTGTGTGTGGACCCATATAAAGCCTTAAACAGAATTTTGACCTAGGAAAATATTTTTTTACTATCTACTTTAACATTTAGGAAGGAAGTCTCTTCAAAAAGTATTGAAAATAAAGTCTCTTTAAAGAATACTGAAAATAGAGTACCTTCAAAGAGTATTGAAAATAAAGATACAGAAACAAATCCACAGCCTAAGCTATGGTCATCATACTTCTTAAAAGAAAGCACAGGTAATAACACTTGGTTTTGCTTTTGTTTTGAGTAACTGTTGCTTCTAATTCATTCCTCTTTCACCATGACTTTTGGAATGTTGACAACTCTGTAGGTCTGGGGAGGGTCATGGGAATCAGTACCTTTTCAAATTCATGTACCATATACACAGTCAGGTATAGGATCCATGGAAAAACATTACATGAAATGATAATAATAGAGTATGAATAGAGAGTGAATTAAAATACCTAATGAAAGCATTAACAAGTTCATTCATTCAACAATAGTTTATTGAGTGAAAGGCACTGGCTTAGAAGCTGTGGATACAATAGTTAGCAAATAGGGTCCTTGCCTTTATGAAGTTCACATTCTAGTGGGAGATAGACAACCGACTATTAAAAATAAATAGTAAACAATATAAAATAAATACAAGCAAAAAAGCAGCACAATGACGGGTTGTGATGGATGTTATAATGTTAATAAATGGCACCTGGGAGAGGACTGCCTTACATCTAGGATCAGAAAACCTCTCTCATGAAGCTCAATGTGTGTTTGTGGATTAACTGAGGCAGTTTCTGTGACATCACATACAGTCCTGAATTCCCTATTCTGATGATGACAGTATGATGAGCCAGTGAACAGGCTGGATACACATTGGAAAATCGGAATGGCTGTGAGCTAATGGAGACTGTAAAGGAAACAGAAGCAGGTAGATGGCTTGAATAGCCCAGCCATCCTACTCTTAGAAGGACTTGGTATCCCTTTTCAGGGTAGCACTTTTTTTTTTTTTTTTAAAGTCAAGAGTTTGCTTTAGAGTCAAGAGTTTTACCAACTTTTTCTTTTTTTGGTCTGTGTTCCCTTAACATTGTTTTCTCTTGAGCTCTCCTGGATTTCCTCATTTTCTTCTTTCAACACAAGTGTTGCTGCATTTAGAGCACTCCAGAAGGCATCTCACAAGACTTCCCAGATACTCTAAATCTGACAAGAAAGGGATGGTGTAGCACAAGTTAGTATGAAACTGTGAGAGATATCCATAGAGCCAGAGGAGTCCTGTAAGCTCATTGAATGGTGTTTCCCAAAGAGATAAGTTTAGAAAACACATAGTAAACTTTTTAAAAAATTACTTTAATAGTAGTATGTTTTAATATGTGTTAGAAAAAAATAATATAAGATGTGGTTGAGAATATGGACTCTGGAGCCAGACTGACTTCCAGATCTACCACTTAATTAGCAGTGTGAATCTGGGCAGGTTACTTAACCTCTCTGTTCCTCAGTTTCATCTAGGAATGGGATAAAAGTAAAACCTCCTTGGGATGTTTGGAGAATTAAATGAGTTAATATATTTAGTGTTCAGAAGAGTAATGGCATATAATGTATTATGATTATTATATGTTACTGTTGTTAATACATCCATCAGTTTCATGGATGATAATATTTATGATCTGACAAAATGTATAAGTTAAAAAGTAGATTCAAAGAAAAATGTTAATTAGTATAGATGATATTCATATATGGCAAATGGATGAAGATAGTATAAGAATTACTGAAGTTTGGAAAATATTCTAATAGTTCGTACCATGGAGATTTTACCTCTTAAATATTTCTCTAATTTATCACTTCTCTATCCCTGTCTTACTAGTGCCTTATCATCTCTCTCACTTGGATTTTTGGGAGAGAACTCTAACCTCTCTCCTTACTCTGTCTGTCTTCCCTCAAATGCACTTTTCACTCTGCTATCCAAGATTTCCCTCAGAAACACAGAATTGATCATACTTGTTTCCTTACATAAAACCTTTCATTAGTAGCCCCTTCATTCTTAGGATAAACCCTAAGATTTCTGGCCCACAAGACTCTCCATTATCCAGCCAGCCTTACCTACACTTCCAGCCACATCTGTCACCATTTCAGCCTCAACCTTGACCCTCAAGCAGCGTCAAAGTGCTTGTAGTCCACACACATTCTTGTTTCTGCATTGGCTCATGCTGTCCTCCCTCCCTGGAAAAACTGATCTGCTCAGATTGGCCAGTTCCTAACCACTCCCCAGACTGGGATGCGGCCCTCCTTTGCTCTCCCATTTACCTAGAACATTATCTTCACTGTTTGTCCATGCTGTTTTACAATTATCCACGTTTCTGACTCCCCAGTTAGAGTTTTTGCAAGTACTCTCAGATCAAGGACTATTCATTTTTCTGTTCCTGGGACTCAGCATAGTGCCAGGCACTGAATGGGTAGAGTCAGTAGCATTTAGTTTTTATTTTTCAGTCATCTATGTTTGGTCGTAGGTAATGTGACTTGACATTAAGCAAAATAATTAATAATGCTATGTATAACCTTTGGTTATATTTAGAATACTCCACATGTATTTCTTCCTGTTTGTGTGTGTGTTTAGAGAGAGAGAGCTTTATTCTCAAGTATCCAAGGAGTGACGTGACCTAAGAAGGACTATTGCTTCGAGCCTTTCCAGACTTACTTTTACTCTCCAGGCTTTTTATTTTATATTTACCCTCCTATAAGAACAATTTAGGAAATATATTTCTAGAGATAGAATAGTATTAATTTTTTTTCTTGAAATTATATTCTTTATAAACAAAACTTTTCCATTTATTAAAATTTCAGGCACTAAACAATTGACATTAACATGAGCTCAGTGTTAATTGGTTTGGGTTTTTCTCTCTTTCACTTGGCAGTTTTATTACCGTTTTTGAAAATGGAAATCAGTGCTGTTTAGTCATGGGAAAAAATAAACCCCAGCACAGAAAGCCATGTAGGCAACATGTACACTTGTTACATTATCGTTTAGGAGTAACCATCTCAAATTTTTGAACTTTTTTTTTTAAAATATATTTTTATTGATTTCAGAGAGAGGAAGGGAGAGGGGGAGAGAGAGAGAGAGAGAGAGAAACATCAATGATGAGAGAGTCATTGATCAGCTGCAGCCCGCAGCCAGGGCATGTGCCCTGACCAGGAATCGAACCCCGATCGCCTGGATCCTAGGTTGACGTTCAACCACTGAGCCACACCCTGCTGGGCTGAACTTTTAAATATTTATTGATTAATTATATATGTTGTTTTAGGTGAAATGGACAAAGATGAAGTCATTGCAAAGCAGGAGAAAAATAATGAATATTGCCTTCGGGATACTGATAAGTTCTTCGAATCAACAGAAGAGGATGGTGAAGATGACACCAATGGTGAAGAGAATGAAGACAGTAATCCAAATAAGGACACTCGTGCCCCATTAGAGTTAATGGCAGAAGTAAGCTCTACTTGTGCATTATAATTTAAGACACTTAAAAATATTAAATAACTAAATAGTCTATATCCTTGAAGATTAAAAAAATAGTAAAGAGGTTTTTGCCCATGTATAGATGCTTACCTGGCTACTCATCTCTCTCATAACTTTCACCAGGGCAGAGGTGAGAGAAGATTCTAGAACTGACAGTATTCTGGTAAAGGCAGGAGCAGGAATAAGAGAAGTTTTGGTATAAAACTCTTCAGCGACTGTTTAAAGGAATGTTTCTACATTAAGTGTGGGCACCATGCTAGTTACTAGGAATATGTAGAAATAAATAAAGACCTTTGAGAACTAACAGACATATTATTTATATAATACAATTTATAATAAAATGAAATATGTGGTAGTAGGAGTATTTATGAAGTTCTCTGGGGATGGAGGATTAAGTGGGTAATTGAGAAAAGAAATAGGAGAAACAGGATAAAAGGAAGAGACGTGTGTACATCTTAGAAACTTGAAGGAAGAGGGAAGGTAGGAATCTATCTGGTAAACAAGAGGAGAAGGCATTCCTGGCATAGGAAACAGCATGGGCAAAGGCACTGAAGCCTGAAACGTCACATGCAAAACTTGTACATTTACTGATAATTCTGTGGAGAACAAAACAATTTTACCTCATTTAATGTGGTATCACAGTCTACCTTTACTTAGTATTACACAACTTCATGTATATTGTATGGACTTTATAATAGTACATTTTCATGTCCCCTTCTCATCCTTGGTATTATTGTTGTCATACATTTTACTTCTGCACATGGTATAAGCTTCACAATACAATTGTTATTTTTGCTTTAAGTGGTCAATTATCTTTTAAAGAGATTTTTTTAATTGGAAGATATCTTTTTTCTTTTTTTCAAATATGTTTTTATTGATTTCAGAGAGAGGAAAGGAGAGGGGGAGAGAGAGAGAAACATTGATGAGAGAGAAACAGCAATCAGCCACGTTTTGCATGCCCCCTACTGGGCCAGGCATGTGCCCTGATTGGGAATTGAACCAGTGACGACCTTGTGCGTAGGACAACATTTAACCACCGTTCCACACCTGCCAAGTGGAAGATCTTTTTTGAAACACATTTCTGGTGTTCTTCATAGCTTTGTGAGGGTCCAACTTTTCAACTAATATTATTTTTTTTTTTACCTGAAAAACCTCCCTCAGTATATTTTATAGTGCAGTTCTGCTGGCAGTGAATTCTCTCAGCTGTTGTTTGTCTGAAAAAGTTTTACTATCGCCTTTTATAAAGGATATGTTAGCTCAAGAAATCTAGGTTGCCAGGTTATTTCCTATAATTTGAAAGGTTACTCTATTGTCTAATACTACTTTCTGAAAAGATGCATAGTTTCAGAAAAGATGTCTGCTGTTATTATCTTTATTAGTCTGTATTATATCATTTTGTCTATTTTTAAAATTTTTTATCTGTAGTATTATTATTGGCAATTTGATTTTGATGTGCCTTGATTCTTGTGTTCATTGAGATTCTTGGATCTATGAGTTTATAGTTTTCACCGGAATTGGAAAATATTCAATTAAGTCTTCAAATATTTTTTTCTGACCTCTGCCCTTTTCATGAAAGTTTTTAGCCAGATATCCATTGCATGAATTTCTTAATTTCACTGGCTTTTGAACTATTGAAAGAGAATATATTTTATGTTAACAACATAAAATAGATCAATGCAAAGAAAAAATAGATCAATGCAAAGGAGCCTTTGAAATGGATTCCATGTACCTTTTATTTTCTGAGGCTAGTATTTTTAATATAATGCTTCATTAAATACACTGGATCTTAGTTGATATTAAGAAATTCTTGCGCAGCCGGGCTTGGCTCAGCGGTTGAGCATCGACCTAGGATTCAGGAGGTCAGGGTTCGATTCCTGGTCAGGGCACATGCCCAGGTTGTGGGCTGCAGCCGATCAATGACTCTCTCATCATTGATGTTTCTACCTCTCTCTCTTCCTCTCACTTCCTCTCTCTGAAATCAATAAAGATATCTTTAAAAAAAAATAAAATAAAAAATTCTTATTAATTTTGTTAGGTGTGATAGTGTTAATGTGATTGTGTTTTTAATTTAAAGTGAAATGAGGTGATATCCATAAACTACTTTTAAATAGTCTAGGCAGAGGGGGGAAAAGAGTATATGGTGATATTCATAAAATCAAATTGGTAAAATGTTAATTTTTGAAGATAAGAATTGGGAGCATGCATTTCTTTTACAATTTTCTCTACTTCTGTGTATATTTACATTTTCCATAAAGATTTTAAAAATATAAACAGATAATGAAAATAATCAATAACAAAACTACTTAAAACTAAAAGATATTCTTCTAAGTGACACATGAATTAAAAATAAAAATCTAAACTTATAACCTATTTAGAAAATAGTGATAACATAACACTAAATATTAAAACATTTGAAGTGCTTAGAGTTTTAAATGCTTTGATGATGATGATGGTGATGGTGATGATGACTGAAAAGTGACAGTAAATGAACTAAATATTAATGCCAAAAACTAGAAGAAAACCAAAATAAATATAAGGAAAAGTACAAAAAAATGAATTAAAAGAACAAATTAATAATTCAAAGTAAAAACCAAATTAATATATCAACTTAAGAGCTAGATATTTGAAGAAAATGACATGGATCAAACACTAGATATTATAATTAAAATGAAAGAAAAGTACAAATAGGAATGAAAATGAACATGTCTTAACCTTAGGAATAGATTTTAAAAATATAAGAAAATTATTAATATGTAAATAAATGAGAATTGTGATGAGATTACGTATAGAAAAATCTCTAAAAAAGTTCTCTTTATATTAGAAAAATATACATAATCTAATACCCATCAGAGAAATGTAGAAAATGGTTAGAGAACTGCTTCTTAAAATGGCACCTGGGTATTAATCAAATATCTGGAAATGTGTGAGAAGTGGTTTTTAGTTTTGTGGGATTTTTTTGATTTTTTTTTATGATTTGATGCTCATGTCTCTTGGAAAGCAAACCAAGTGTATCTACATATGGTACAGAATATGTCACACCCAAGCAAGAACAATCATCTAAGTATAGGCTAATTTTTTAAAAAGAAGCAGTTTAGATAATTAATAATAAAATATTAGTTTAGTAAATGGCAGCCTAAGTAAATAAAAAATATGTAAGAATATTTAATTCCATGGGAGAAAATGATCATGATATGTGAGTATGAACATGATTTATTTTTAAAAGTTACTGAACAATTCTAGTTTTTGTAAATATGTAGTCATTTATGGAAACAATATACATGAATGTAATAATAAACATCTCTGGGTGGTAGAAATATAGAGGCTTTTGAATTGGGAACAGAATATGTTTATTTAGCTTTTAAATTTTCTACACACAAAGGTATGTATTACTCTGTAACAAGAAAAATATAATAAAAATAGTAAAAGCAGGATGGTATGAGAGCAATACTAGAAAATAGTGACTATACATACTTGTAAATCTACATTTTTTTTACTAAGTATTATCATGTAATTATGGACTGAGTTCACAAATAAAAGCTGTATCTGAACCAAAAGGATATGTGATAGTGATTAATGTCTTCACTGTCTCTGCCAGTTGAATCAACCTGTATATTTTCAACTTGTTCAGGAGTATACATATAGTGTGGCTGCAGCAAAATAGAGCTATCATACTTATTTTACATATGTTGCCTTGCCGTGAGAAGTCCCTAAATACAGTTAATTGGTTGACTGATTACAGACTTACTCCTGGAAAAACATGTGTAAATGTTAAAAGCAAAATAGTTAATCATTAATGGAATATTTTCTAGGGAGTTTATAATTGACACTTTAATTCTCTCTGGACCTACCTATCTGAAGAATTTCTTAATGTTTTCCAGTTCCTGAAAGCAGAAATGGGCCAAGACTACCATTTGGCTAAAAAATTATGTCAGATGAGTAAGTATAAAATACTTTGTTTTCCAACCTTCTCTTTGTTTCTAAATACATCACATAAATATATAAGATGGTTTGATTACTATAAGTCCAGTGACTTTCCCCAGTAGTGTCTCAGTGATTCCTTGACAGTAAATTAGGTTGATTGGTATAAGGGCAAATTTAGACTTCTAGACTAACTTTGAGTGAGATCAAGTAAAAGAAACGAATTAATTACCATGAAGGTAAGTCCAAATCCTTATCTTTATGATAATGGTAGGTAACTTTATGCCTTTAGTTTTAAAGAAGTGTCAGGTAGTGGAGCAAACCTTACTTAACATGCAATTATTCCACAAATACTTGGGTGCTTCCATGTGCCAGGCACTGTTCTAGACACTGGAAATACAGCAGTCAACAAGACAGATAATGATCCCACATTTATATCTAGTGTCAGACAGATAATAAACTCACATATAAAGAGTGTGTCATAAATGATAGGTGCTATCTAAGAAAATAAAGTAGGGAAGAAGGAATAGAAAGCACTGGGAGGAGACAAAGCAGTTTCAGATAGGATGGTCCCAGAAGGCCTCATTGAAAGACTTGCGCAAAGACAGGAAGTTGAACTAGCCACATGGGTATCTGGAAGGAGTGAGCTCCAGGCAGGACTAATAGCAAATGTGCTGAGATGCGAGTGTGCCTCACGAACAACAAGGACAGTGTAACTGGAGAGAATAACCAAGGGGAGTGTGATAGGAACTGAGGCCACAGAGGTTACGGATTGGGGTTGTGCAGATTGTATAGCACCTTTTCACAGCTTAGGGTCCTCGCTTTTTTCCTTAGTAGGAAACCAGTAGACGTTTTTGAGTAGAAGAATATTACCCCACTCTTTTTTCTTTCTATCTTTGGTTTTTAGTGGTTTGACGATGTTCAAAATATTTGTGGTTTTGTCTCTATACAAAGGGAGGTTTGAGAAGTTTCCCGAGTTTCCTAATTCTTTGGGTTGCTGTTTTCATTAACTTTGAAAGTTTCTTGGCCATTACCTTTTCAAATATCACTTCTGCCCTATTCTCTTTCTCTCTTTTCTTCCTGGGTCTTCAGTTACACATAAATTAGACTTTTTTTTATGGTGTCCCACATGTATCTTATACTCAACTTTGGTTTTTTTCCATTTCTTTTCCTTTCTCTGTTTCAGTTTGGATATTTTCTTTGACCTGTACTTGAGTTAACTTATCCTGTCTTCTGCTGTGTCCAGTCTGCTATTAAAACCATCCAGTGAGTTCTTCATTTCAAAGATTGTGTTTTCCAGTTTTAGAAAGTCAATTTAATGATTTTGAAAGATTCTGGCTCTCTGTTGAAGTCCACAATGTTTTCAACTATTTTGCCCATCTTTTTCTTTAATACATCTGTCATAGTTATTTTAAAAGTGAAAATGGCAACTCTCCAATAAACTTTATGGACAATAGGCCTGATGTTAGACTTAAGTCTCTTGGTCCAAGTCCTTGAAGTGAAAATGCAATGTAGGGACTGTGAGAGTCTCCTCTCACATGCCTCACACAGAGTCCCCACTGTGTATACAGTACTTCTGAAATCATTGGCTAATTTTTAAAATGGGTTTCTTGGATGCTTTAATACTACCTATTTTGTATCCAAAATAATAAGCCATGTTTTGTACTTTTGACCTTAAAGCCATTGAATAAAACTATTTTGATCAAAACTACTTTTGGTGGCCCACATACATAAATTTCCAATCAGAAGGAATCCTTAGAGAGAATCATGTCCTATCCTCTATTTTTATAAGTAATGAAACTGAAGCAGAAAGAAGTTAAGCAGCTTTGGCAGCCCCACCCAGGGAGCAGGTGACACAGCCAGACCTGGAAGCCAAGCCTCCTTCTCCCCACAAGCTCTTTCTTCTCTGAGGGGCTAGTGTAGAAGTGAGTGACTCTGTAGCTCTGGCTCTCAGTTCTCTGAGTTTCCTGTGGACACTAATTGTAGGGAAATTTATATATCATATTTCAGTATTCATCAATGATTTTTAGAAAGCCTTTGGCTGAAGCTTAGAAAATATATGCACTGATATTATATTTGTCAGTCAGTTTAGGCTGTCAGCCCTGCCGTGAGCTGCATAAGTAGCAGGTGCTCAAAAAAATGCTTATTGACCAGACTCAAATGGGTGAACACTCATTAAGTGCCAGGTCAATGGGGATGGAAAAGTCCAAATTGATCTATCTTAATGGGGTTATATCCCTTTAAAAACTCACTCACTACCATCCTTCCTTCCAACAAATACATATTGAGCACCATATCTGTACCAGGCATTATGCTGGGAGCTGGAGAGAAAGCAGGAATCAGAGCACACTTGCCCAAAACCCTTTTGGGGTTGACATAGACATGATCTGGTTTGGTTTTCATCCCTACAGCTCAGCTAGTAGCACTGTTCACTCTTTTTCTGTCTGTTTCAAAAAGTGGTGCCTTTAAAACTAAGGACTAGACTGTAGGAAAAGGAGCTATGGAGGGCCCTCAGACAGGCACCAGGATCCAGGAAGCCACCTGAGAAAGAACACTGCTCCCAAGAGGAAGAAGAGGCTGATGGGAAACATGGGAAAAGAGGCCCAAAGATGGGGAGGGAGTATACATAGTTAGATTGGCTACCCTTGAGGCAGATTCCCAGCTAAGGATGTAAAGGTAGGAGGCCCAGGTTTAGCAGTGCCAAGCAAGTTCCAAGAAGAACAGAGAGCTCAAGACAGACTCTGTCTCAGGAAGAAGGAAGGGCTAGTGCTGTGATGCTAACAGGAACACTTCTGTCTCTTTTTTTCCAACTTCTAGCTCTTCTACAGACACTCCCCCTTTCTCTCTGTAGATATTTATATATTTATGTGTGTAAACATAGATTATCTATTTACATATTTATGTATATGTGCATGTATTGAGCACCTACTAGGGGAGCATTAGTGTTACATTGTTTAATTCTTAAAACAATTCTGTGAGGCTGATTTAATTAACCCTACTTTACAGATGAGGAAATTGAAGCTAGCAAAGAAAACTAGTTCACACAAAGTCACACAGCTACCAAGTGGTCTGGCTTAAAAGCCTATGATATCCTATTATATTTCCATTTCCTCATTTTATTAATAAACTCATACTTCTGGTCAAACAGGCAGAGACTTGGAAAAGAGATACTTTTATGGACCAAGCAGGTTTGAAATGGCTCCTATGTTGACTAATATATTTATTTTATTAATAAATATATTTATTCTGTGAAATAATTTATATGAAATAATGTATCTTTGTCCCTTCAGAAATGTTTTACAAATCCATTTTCTCAAACAAAGCCTCAGGTTCCTGGTGTGTTTTCTTTTCTTTTTCTTTTTTTTAAAATATTGGTTACTTTATTTTTTAATATATTTTTATTGATTTCAGAGAGAGGAAGGGAGAGGGAGAGAGAGATAGGAACATCAATGATGAATCATCTATCAGCTGCCTCCTGCATGCCCCCTACAGGGGACAGAGCCCGCAACCCAGGCATGCGCCCCGACCAGGAATTGAACCTCGATCTCCTGGATCTTAGGTCAATACTCAACTGCTGAACCATGCCCGGCCGGGCCCTGGTTTCTTGCTGTCACACTCAGTTTTTATTTGGTCCTAATATTTCCTCAGTCGTTTTCCTGCTGAACTGCTGTCTCTGCTCCACTCCATGCCTCTCCTGCCAGGCATTGGCTCAGCCTGGAAAAGTGATTTTTAAGTGGACTGAAAGTCAAGAGCTCTGAGTACTTATCTTAGTTAATCTCATGAATGACTGAGATTTTGTGCCAGTCAGTCTTCCTATTTCTTGGTCTTTTCACTTGCAAGAATGGAATCCGCAGCTCAATCTTCTCGGTTTCCACACTTCTGCTCACAGGCAGCCCTAGATTCTACTAGCCTAGAAGACCTATTTCATCTACTATAATAATTGTAAACGTTTAAGAATAATGGCCTGAAAACCAAAATGATTCTCATCATAAGTCTAACACAACTTCGTATGTATCTTCAGAAAACAGTTCCTATAATGTGTTTTTCTCTTTTTGAGTAAAAGAAGTCATTCTTTCCTATTGCCTAGATATAATTTATATAGGCAAAAAATAAGTTTTCTACTCAGTTGTCTATATTCATTTATTTCATTTTTTAATGTTTTGAGAGCTCCAGCTCTGTGCCAGGCACTCTAGGGATGTAAACAGTGAACAAGACCAACCTTCTAGACAGAAGAATATGCTCATAACTATTATGAATCTTATAGAGAGGAGAATTGGTTTCCCCAATTCTAGACCCTAGAATAGCCTCTAGTCTGAGGGACTTAAAAGTTGTATAAATACCTGTAGGATCCTTCAAAGCAGCTTCTGAGCAGGCACACTGTCATGCTAATGCAGCTTGATGGTAAAGGATTAGGAAATAAAGACACTGGTTTGGTGTGTCAGGATGAAAGCCATGTGGGGTGAGGTCCTATGAGCCAATGGGGCCTAGTTGAGCCATCCACAATTATCTCTCTTCCTCTTAGCCAGGCTAGTATAGCACGCTTGATGTTTCAGTGCCCCCTGGGTGCCATCAGGATCGCAGGAGTCACAACATTAAATGGATGACGCTGAACTCTGAATACTCCTCAAGGCAGGAAGATGATAGAGATCTGAAAAATAAAATAGTCTAGAAAACTCTCAAACAAAAGGTGTAAATTGTTCTGGCCTCTAGGACATTGGTAACATACCAACAAGCCTTAAAAAATCTCTTGGTATGACCCAAAGGATTGATGAGACATTCACATAAGGATCAACAAAGGAATAAAGTGCTTAAGACAGTGGCTGATCAAGAGGGAGAATGCTGTGAAGGTGGCGATGACTGGGGTGTACACTAGGGCAGACCTTTAAGGATGAAGAAAAATAAGAAAGATCAGTTCTCCTATTTGAAAGATCAGTTTTTAAAAATGTCATATCTGCCATGGAAGAGCTTGCATGTGCGCGCACACACACACACAAACCAAAAACCCCCAAAATTGTTCCTATGTGTTCAGATGAGGCCTTTAGTAAAGGATGTCATGTAGATTGTGGGAGGGTGAGATGAGATGAGAGATTAACAGACTCTAGACACATTATTATTAGCTAAGTCTATTTTTGCAAGATTTGTGCCTTGTTTGTGGAATGATTACAGTCGCTAAACACCTTGGTTTCAGGCCTATGAGGGAAGCCTCATAGTGACAGAGGTTGAATCTTTGGACAGGAGGTAGAAAATAGAATGAGAATTATTTCTCTTATAAAGCACCTAAGATAAGTAGCGCATTTTCTCTATTTGCACTTAAATATACCCATGGTATAATTGTTGTTTATTGCTTTGTACATTTTCACTTACTGTGATTGACAGTTTCATTCTGAGGAGACTGTTTGCTGAAACACTTTGAACATCTAGTAACACACATTCTGTTGTCATTTTCAGTCCTAATCTATGAACCAGAAAATCCTGAGGCCAAGGAGTTTTTCTCACTTATTGAAGAAATGTTGCTAATGGGTAAATTTAAAAATTGAAATTCCTTCTTTCTCATAGAACTATGAGCAGTCACTATTTAAAAACCCATTATCCCAGGAGATTAGCAAAGTACATCCTCAGGAAGTGGTTAAGAAAAGGCTAAATGGTTGTCTTGGGTGGTTTAATGAAACCGGCTTGTCCTTTGTGGATGGTCAAGATGACCTCCTTTTCTCTGTGGGGTGGAACTGCCCAAACAAAGCGGCTTCCTGGGCACAGCAGTCTTTAGAGGGAACAGAACATGCTAATTGCCCCTTGTATTAAAGGGACTATCGCACAATTCCAAGGAAAGCCAGTACCCTCTAAGTTATCCTATTCTATTTGAGAATTTAGTTATCTGTTAGAGTTATATTCATAATAATAAAATATATTTTTATAGACCTAGTTTTAAATTTGCTTTACTTTTCTTTAAATTTTTAACCAGTTTTTTAAAAATTTTATAGTTGAGAGTATTACAGATATTCCCCCATTTCCTCCCCTTTACCCCCTTCCCCCATTTTCTTCTCCTTCCCAATTAAATTGATTTTAAATCCACAAACATCTTTATTCCAGTAAGAATATATTCTTATTTGTACTACTATTTTAACCCTATATACAGTTTTAACAAAGTTCAGCTCAATTTTCATGTTCCAAAAATATGTATTTCTTAGTGGAGGGAGAAGCAAGGAGAACTGCCGTTTTTCAGAGTGGAAATATTACGAAACATATTAAGCAATTCTCGTCCCTTCTGTGGCAGAGAAAGTTCAAAATCTTGAAGATGACCAAGAGAGTGAAGAAGACAGCAGCGGGGAGAGTGAAGGAGACAGCAGCGGGGAGAGTAAAGGAGGGAGCGGTGAGGAGCCCAGTGAAGACAGCTCTGATGAAGGTGAAGACGGGGCATGACAGGTGCTACTGTGGTTTCCTCTTCATATATTTTCATTACTGTATCACATGGAAATATAAAGAGAGCTGCATTTTAGTCTAACTGTTCTTTATTTGGTACAGAGTTATGTTAATTCATCCATATTAGTTTGAACTCTTTCCTAATATTTAGGTCTTTGATCCAATGTGAGTTACTCAGAGAGGAAAACAGTATTTTGAAAACACATAACACTGTGTGCCAGGTACCATTCTACACACATTATTTAAGCCAACAAACCCATGAGGTAAGTACTATTGTTGTTCCCATTCAACAGATGAGAAAACTAAGGCACAGAGAGGATGGGTAGTTTGCCCAGCATCATGTACCTATTGAGTGGTAGAGCCTGGATTTGTATGTGGACATTATAGCTCCAGAATCATACTCTTAGTCCCTCCATGACCACCTCTTCAGGTACTTTTATATCATTTGTTTTATGCTCTTTATAGCATATATCAGTACCTGACATTCTTATTTGACTACTTGCTCTTTTTATCTTCTCCCTTCCTGTCAGAAAATGTAAACTCCCTGAAGGACATTGTCCTTTTCATAGCAACTGCACAAGTGCCTGGCAAACAATGTGATGTATATACCGAGTGAATGCATGAAAACTATCATGAAACCTTTACACAGCTTTATTACACCTTTGATGTATCAATCCACATTATTTTGCTGATTCTGTATTCCTTGATGAATTTCTGCCACCTTCAAAATAAGTTGTAAGGTAACTTAAGTAAAATGAGAAAACTATTCCTAAGTAATTTGTTTTCAGTGTACCAGTCTGAATTTTTATTCTTATATCAGCACAGTATTACATTATATCCAAAATGTTTGCAGCATAGTTTATTCTTTGTGCATTTTGTAGCCTGCTAACATTTAGAGGAAGACATTCTGCACCATTTTATAGGAGTGACTGAAAGAAATGAAGACAGGTACTTTCAATCCACTAGTTACATAAGTAGTCAGGTGGCACTGGAGGGCTGGCTGATGCAGACCTCACAAGTGGCCATTCTTTTTATTTGGGGGGGGTTGTTATTCCCCCACGAGTATAGCTTGGGCTGTGATCGAGGGAGAGGCTAGTGTCAGGTCAAGACCCCTGTCGGCCCTTCAGCTACATAGAATGGATGCAGAGGCAGCAATATTATGGAATAGTTTAGCTATACACTCAACACTCCACTCCCTCTTCCACTTTAAAGACACTGTAGTTACTTTGGGCCCATCTGGATAACCCAGGGGATAATCTTCCCTCTCAAAGTCTGCTGATTAGCAACCTTAATTCCATCTGTAACCTTAATTGCCCTTTGCCACGTAACCCAACAATTTACAGGACCTGGGGATTAGAACATAGACATTTTCCTGGTGTGAGGGGGGTGTTATTCTGCCTACCCCAGGAAGTATTGGATATTAGGGGGTTTTTTTGAATTCATGGTATGGAACTTAGAAGAGATACGTTGGCTAGAGATACACCCCTTAATTAGGAGTCATTAGTTTAGACTCAGACTACTCTTTGATTAGAGATAGTAATTCAAGATAAGGCAGTGGTGGCCCACAGAGAAAGTGTAGTCTGAATAGAAGAGGACCGAAAATAGAATTATCTTAAATGATGAACAACGTTTAAGTGGTGGTCCAAGGAAGAAAAATTCACAAAGGAGACAGAAGTACAGCCAAGAAGAAACTCAGGAAAGCAAACATAGTGGATACTGTTGGTTGTCTATCAGCATCCAGCCCTCCCCCGCATCTTTGCTAAGAGAGCCCTGATTTTGAATCCCCTCACACATAGCCAGGGATTCAAGAAAGACACCCTCAACTAACCAGTACATGGCATTTCTCTGGTGGTGGTGGTTGTTCCAAAGGTGGACATGTGACCGACATTGGCCAAACCAAATTAAGGACTTTATTTCATGATTGGGAGGAAAGGTTCCTCCATTCCTCTGGCTAAGAACCAGGAAGCACACTGCCTTACTTACTGCTGGCAGCAATTTTAAAAATGATCATGAGTGGAACTAATCTTAGGATGAAGCTAATGCTGTGGATAGTAAAGCAAAAAGAATCCAGGTTGCCTAGTCTGGTGTAGCTCAGCTGTTGAGTGTCGACCTGTGATCCAAGAGATCATGGTTCGTTTCCCGGTTAGGGCACATGCCCATGTTGCAGGCTCGATCACCAGTGGAGGGCGTGCAGGAGGCAGCCGATCAATGACTCATCATTGATGTTTCTCTCTCTCCCTCTCCCTTCCTCTCAAATCAATAAAGATTTTTTTTAAAAAAGTACCCAGGTTGCTGGTGATGTCCTGCCATGGAATCTGCTGGGGAAGCCAGCCCTCTGAGCTTTGCTGTAATGTGAAATAACTATTTAATTGTCTAAACCAGTCTGGAATGAGGTTTCTTTTAACTGCCGCTAAAAGCCTCCTGATAGTGAGTATACCACAGAAACCCAGAAAAGAGTTTCAAGATCTGGAAAAATGAACTTTGCCCAGAGTTATAGAGAGGGCAAGTAAGGTAAGAACTAGAAAGGGTGAGTGGGTAGCAACAAAGAGGTGGTTGGTGACATTACAGAAAGCAGAACCACTGGGGAGGCACCATGTATTCATGAGTTCAAGTGCATTCAAGGTGAGGAAAGGAGAACATGGAGTTTTACTACAAAGGAAAGGGAAAAGATGAAGTTATTGTTGGAGGACACAGGCACAAGGAGTATTATTTTTTACATGTTTAAGATAAGCATGTTTAGGAAGGATGATAATTATGTGTTTTGATAGGCTATTACCTGTTAGGCATTGTATTAAGCATTCCAAATCTTTCTTTTTCTTTTTAATATATCTTTATTGATTTCAGAGAGAGGAAAGGAGAGAGAGAGAGAGAGAAAGAAACATCAATGATGAGTCATTGATCGAGCCCACAACCTGGGCATGTGCCCTGACCGGGAATCAAACTCTGATCGCCTGGATCCTAGGTCGACTCTCAACCGCTGAGCCACGCCCAGCCAGGCAAGCATTCCATATCTTAATGTATTATTCATAGCACCGGTGTAGGATAGACATCATTATCTCCATTTACATATGAAGAAATTGAGGCCTAGAGACAGTAACTTTCTAAAGATCACATGCCTGGAAATTGGCAGATTCAAATCTAGGGGGTGTGTGTGTGTGTGTGTGTGTGGCTTTATAACTTTGACAATCAGTGGTGAGCTCTCATCCACATTGATCAACTGTAGATTTTTGAAAGTGGTGACAGGTACATAAGTAACCAGTGTATAAAGCTTGTTTGGCAAATCTTCATTCTCATTACATTTTCTGGGTAACCACACATGAATACTGTATGGGATGTTACCCATATAATTTTAATAATTGGGTAACTCTCATGACTTTCTTTTGCTCTTTTTAAATACTTTAGTGTGCTTCCTCTTCTGTCTGAAACAAGGCTTTTGGTGTTTCATACCCTCAGGTCCCTAAGTGTATATTCATCTCTAATAAATTATTTTAAATGCCTTTCCATAGAAAGAATAATTTAAAAATGATCATTCTGTAACAATGATAAATTTCAGTTCCCTGGACAGTGTGTTAGGAGGAAAATCTCTTCCACATCATCACAGGCAGTTTCCTCCTGTTGGTATCAGAAGAGCTCATCCTAAGGGCAGAATACTTAAATTAGTAGACAGCATCATCATCCTAACTCTACCTTCTCTTAGCTTGCAACCTACCAGTGAAAGAAAATAAGAGGAAAAATATTAAAAATCATATGTACTAAATGGAATTAAAAGAATCCTTTAAGAAACGTGTCTCAAACTAAAACTTGCTAAATTGAGATCTTATACAACCTGTTAAAGTAGTGGTTTGTATACTCACGTTAACTGGCTGCTCCCTTTTAGGCTAATTGAGGACTCCTAGATGGCTCTGACTTTCTGGGACTTAACATTTTCTTCTCAACTTACGTGAATCCAGATGTAGAACAGAAACTGATGCAAAACAACTGCCTGCATTCATTGTGCAGTTGCTAGTGCCTTCCAGATGGCCAGCTGAAGAGGTTAGGAAGATACTATCTATTCAGCTGCACAAAATAAAAACCAGCTAAATATGCACTGGGTGGGTATAGTGTTCCAGGAACCATTCTAGGCTGGGACTACATTGGTTTAAAAAAAAAAAAATCCCTGCCCTCGTGGAGCTTGCATTTTAGTGGGAAGAAAGAAGCAATAAATAAATATACAATATGTCAAGTGATATTAAAAAAAAAAAAAAAGGGATAGGAAAGGCTGTGGGAGGGGGAACTGCCATTTTAAATAGACGGATAAAGCCCGGTCTCACCGAGAAAGTAACATTCGAACATTTGAGCAAAGACCACGGAATAAGGAGGAACAGGTCCTATGTGTACTTCGGGGAAGAGCTTTTTCCCAAGCAGAGGAGCAGTAATTGCCAAGTCCCTACAGCTGGGAGCATGCCTGGAATGTTCAGGAAACAGTAAGTGAGCCCGGCCGGGCGTGGCTCAACGGTTGAACGTTGACCTAGGATCCAGGAGATTGAGGTTCAATTCTGGGTTAGGGCATATGCCCAGGTTGGGCTTGATCCCCAGTGGGGGGCGCGCAGGAGGCAGCTGATCAATGACTCTCTCATCGTTGATGTTCCTATCTCTCCCTCTCCCTTCCTCTCTCTCAAATCCATAAAGATATATTTTAAAAAAACAAGTGTCACTGGGGCAGAAGGAGGACTTCGTCACAAAACTGGTTCCCTTTCATCCCTTCTCAGGTGAGTCTGAATGTCCCATCAGAAAGTTTTCTCATCTTGGTATCAAAACTTCTCTAGGGGTTAAAAAAACTCACTAGAGAAGGGCCTCAAGCCCATGTCGGGATGATCAAGCTCTGCCAAAACAAATGGGCAACAAAATAAAACACTTGTTTAGGCTTAGCTTATACATCCATGGAGAAATTTAAATGGATCAAAATCATTGTTGAACTGAGGGGAAAGAACAGGAGCAAGAATTAACATTTATTGAACACCATAAACCAGGCATGGTGGGACTTACTGAGTTTTATGGGCATCAAATAAGATAGCCCACAAAGCTGTTTATTAGCCCCCATTTTACAGGTGAGAACATTTAGAGCAGTAAGTAATAGCTGATAAGTAAAATCGAGATTTGAACTTGGCTGACTGACTTTAAAGTTTTTGCTTTTCCTCCTGTGAATAACTGCCTGGAACACCTCAAGAGGTCCTTGAAAGGAGTCCTTAGCATTCACAACATAAGAAGATTCCCCAATGAAAAGAGTCACAAAATATTAATGCTAAATTATTTCAGATAAACAAAGCCTTATCTGGTCTCATCTGATCCCCTACCGCTCCCATTATGGGAGTCCAGAGAGATTAAGTGATTTTCCAAGGTCACGTGGTTATGTGGCAGAGGTGGGAGGCCTCACTGAGCAGTGTACAGGGCACTGGGACTGAAGTTTTCAGCCCACTTCCCACTAAGTGTGTGGTCTGAGAAGTCCTGAAAGCTCTTCAGACTTCTGTTTCCTCATCAGCAAAATAGAGGTGATAGTTAAATGAGAATTCATATAATAAACACCACATAATTTCCATGAGATTTACTTCTCACCTCTATAATATAAATATTTCTGTTAGTCATGTTTTGAAATGAGAGAAACATAAACACAAAAAGGCAGGTCTCTAACACACCCCACTTCCCTCCACCACTACCACCATTAGGCCAGGCTGGGCCCACAGTAAGCAATCCTGGGCAGCCTAGGCCAAGACATTTCTCTGGGTCACACCTTGGTTCTC